ATTTCTTTCGGCACGAGCCTTAAAAAAAGCTTTCACTTTTATATAATGAAATTATATTAACAATTTCTAGTTATTTGACAAATATACTTACGGAGAATAGCTTAATAAGGGACTGATTCGTGCGCCATCTGTAAACGAGCGGGAAAGAAAAGTGTTTGAAGGCCGCCGGCCTGCCGGCCGGGCCGAGTAACTCGGGTCTCGAGCGAATCAGTGTGCGAGTCTCTCTGCCATTTGCGCGTCGGTACGCGACTACGCGGCAGTGGTGATACTAGAATTCTACGTCTGCTTACCGGTGCGTAGAAAACGCAAGCCTTATTAAGTGCGTTTTGTACCTAAGTGCTTTATCGATCTCACGATTAAATCGATCAGTATGGCGGATACAGAAACTAAGTGAGTACTACAAATTTTTTTATTGATCTATCATCAGAAAATCATACATTTACACTGAACGCTTCTGTTATGTTTCATTACCGAATACAGTTACGGTAAGCTAACAGTCCTTGCGTTTTATAATCCTCATTTTTTATTCATTTATTTTGAATGCTACAAGTTTAAAGACAATTTCCTCACTTTCACAATTTTGTTTATATCATAATTGATTGTGTACTTTTGAAAGTGTACGTAATTTGTACGGCCACGAGAAAGGGATAACGTGGGAGAGAGAGGGGATGCCCTCTCTACGTGATATTCTCAGCTTGATTCGTAAGACGCGTTACGTTCTCAGGATTACCTGCTTTTGCCATGATACGTGCTCTACTTGTAGAGTCGCTTTTCTGGCGGCATCGTTTACCTTTTTATTTTTCCCACTTGTAGTTTTGGCTACACAAAACAGTACAAGATGGTACAATGCACATTTGTTATTAATATCTTTTTTGTTGTTGTTTCTAATATGTTTGGGCATACTTTTCCTACCATTTATGATTGAAATTATTCCTCTTTATAAATCATTTCATATTTATATGTATTTAATAGACAAAGGTAACTATAAATTGAAATCAAATATTTTATTACATGAAATTACAATTTTTTCAACGTTAACAATTGTATAAACATTTATGTGACCAACGAAAAACACTGCTACGTACACATAAAGGAAACTATAAATGTTTACGGATGATTGTAACATGCATCACCTTGAAAAGAAAATGGACAACTTATCGATCTGCTCTCCCTTACCGACTAAATGTTGAAAATATTAATGTATTTACTTTTCATTTAATATTTTTAAGAGGAAGTATATGATATTTGTAATGATAAATACCGGTGCTATCTAGGTTTATTTAAGTTCCAACACTGCTGGAACGAATATATATGTAACATTGATGTATATTTACGGTCCACGAACATCCACGATTTGCCGCGCCGAAACATTCTGTGTATGTACGTACGTACGTGTACGTGTATTCTGTTGAAAGGAGAGGGTTGTGTGAGAAGGGGGAGACGAAAGCAGGATAATATTAACATCGGTAGGTGCCGCCACGGTTGGCGTCCTATCTCTATTTCTTTTCCTTGTCATTCCATCTTTGTCTGTAGCCTTAAAGTTTAACCGATACCGCATTAAAGAAAATAAGGTACTACGATAAAGCTTAATTTTAAAAATATTTTGTCATTGTCCACATTGTCTAACGTACCTTTTTTCAGATAAATATTTCATTCATAAAAGTTTAAATGACGTCATTGATATTTTAAATAAAAAAGTTTGTTTTGATATACTTACGATATATGTTTACATTACATACATACATAATTCATATTATACTTTAATGTACATAAATTATTT